CCCAGTCAGTAAATCTACGTATGAATGAAGTAATAAATTCACTTTAATTTACATCAATCAACTTTCCTCTTTGTGGAAAATGATTTTCAGGCAACAGAGGAGTTACAAAAGATCTGGACAGTGGGCTGCAAAATGTGGTTGAAAGATTACACTGGTGTTTATACTGCCTTGAGACAGGAATGGTCAGAAATAGTAAAACCTCTCATGTTGGTATTAGAAGGAAAAATCAGGGATCACCTGTTTGAATTGGTGCAAAAAGCATACACTTCAATTCATCTTGATAAATTCTCTCTATTTTTGGGCATGACTGCTGACAGTGCCCTTGAAGGTATGTGACCCATTTGTACAATTCACAACAGACTGTAGAGTGTAGACATGAATGATATAGACATTGAGAACTAATGGATGATTTCAGTTATAGGGTGTTCCACACCCCCCCCCCACCCCCACACACACACACACTGTCCGGCCCTGTATGAAAATGAGACTCTATAATCAAGGTGACATACTTTCCGATTTTTAATTATTTTTTTTTTACTTTTAATTCACGCTTGATATTATTTCTAGTGGCAAGAAATCACAATTGGCAGTACGATGATGCAACAAAAATGTTAACGCCTGTCAAACGTGACACTGGTAAGCAAGTGTAGTGTACAAACACTGTTATTAGGCTTATATTTTTACTCCCATTTTAAAACTATTGACCATATTTTCTCTCATTTGTAGGCGCAAGAAAAAGTTCTGATATAACAATTAAAAGTGATAAACAGTTGGGTATTCTCACAGACTATGTATCATTCTTAGAGCTAATAGAACACTGACAATTGTAAAATTTTGTACATAATAGTTTTAGTTGAAACAAGTTCAAATTTGTTATATACAATTCTTGTAAACATCTGAAGCATTGAACAGATAAGTACAGGGCCGTACACAGCGAGTGGGGGGACGGGGGCAACGACCCCCTAGAGAAAACTATATTTACCATTTTTAGAATGTAATTGATCATTAATCTTTGGATATTATGGACTTTTTTCGGCATATAGGCCTTACTGCCCCCTGGTGGAAAAATCCTGTGTATGGCCCCGGATAAGTATTGGGATTTTTACCAATTTCAGGTGTCAGACTAACCAGCTCTGCAGGCGCTCGCATGCTTTGCAGGCTATTTTATCTATTGCTCTTCATCTGTAGATGCAAACGACGGTAGCCATGGCTATTGTTGATCCAGTTACAATCTCGGCTCTATATAGATCAGAAAGCATGAGAAGAATGACGTCATTTGGATAAATGCGAGTCTTGTAGTAGACTGGAACTAGAGCTTCATCAAAACAAAAACAAAGAAAATGGCGAAATTAATACTACATTTATACTACAATACTTGACATTTGAGTGCTTTCTGAGTTGTGTTTTTCCACGAAAACTTTATATAATATATCATTTTGTAATGTAACTGACTTACAATGTTCCACAATGGATTTATGTTGCAATGGTTCGTGGTTAATATGGCATTTTGCCCAGAACTCTAAAGCTATTAACTCGATATTAATCTCCCACTTGCCAATTTATATGATAATATTTCAAAGACAAAGCTGAGATTGTTTCGCATAAACTTTAGAAGTTTGGTTTAATAGCGTCGTATTTCATTGGCATGGCTTCTTTCGAGAAATCTAGAGGTAAACTGTATTAATATAAATAGAGCATGTTGATATAAACATTGTATATTTGTATTACGTTTTGTACAGTCTATATATACATTGTACGTAGATATACCATTACATTTTGCTGGCGGGCAAATTAAGGAAGAAACCTCTTTCAAATTCTTTCAAAACATTCTGTCTGCCAGGGAAATGTAAACTAGATGAATGCATTACATCAGCAATACAATTAGATCTAGAACGTGTTTATGGGCATTAGATTTCCTAATAAAAAAAATTTGACCCTATACTTTGAGGGTCAATTAACTTTTATAGAATTGCCGACTATCAAAAATAAAATTAAAGATTATAAAATGATACATGCAACTAGAGTAATGGTTGTTTAGCCCTTCTGACCTCATCTAAACCCTAATTCTGAACTTCTACTTTCCATTACCAACCATTGGTATCAGAGACCTTAATTTAACCAGTGGTTTTGGTTTTATATGCTGAAACAGATTTGCATAAGTAGATTGAAAAAAGTTTTAGCTGGCATTACAACAATAGTCATTAACCCTTTAAGTGGCAATGTGCCCAGATGCTCCCTACTTTATTATTTTACTCTGTCTAACGCCAGATTATTTTACTCTACAGGGAGAGAGTGCTGCCACTCAATGGGTTAACATCACAAAGTTCAGAATGACTGATAATGATGCAATTTTTGGCATCTAAGGGGGAGGAGCATCCATACTCAACTTGCCACGAGTGTGGGTGTGTGGGTTATTTTCTTTGATGTTTTGCCTGTGGCAGTTTGACACTTTCGAATATTATAAAAGTACAATATAACATTCTTTTGTATAATATAAAATTCTATTTGTAATACGTACTTTAAAAACACAAAACAGGCGTGTACAATATTCTCCCCAGTCAAGGAAACAAACAAACTTTCTTACTTTGCCAGACGGCAAATCAAGGCTTTATATTTATTTGTTATGTTTGCTAATACAAGTATTTTTGAGCATTCACATTTGTTTTTTTCTTGCCACGGATTGACGTTTCTAAGGTGGGTGGGTGTGTATGAAAAAGAAATTGACGTTTCTCATGGCAAGTTGAGTATGGATGCTCCCCCTAAGTCAATAGCAAACTTGATTGGTTGAGAATAGTAAAAAAACGTTAAAGGCCATGTAAAGTCCGTAATCTAAACAAACGGTTTGTTTACATTTTGAACTCAGTGCTACAGTTGTAAAATATGACTAGATATATATTATACTGAATTTTTAACACTCTTCTGGTTCGCTATGCTTGTAAATGAATACAGACTAGAGATTCAAGTCAAGAAAGTTCGGAATATGCGAAATATTAGTAACATTCCAATGGTCGGGTCCTGACCATTGGAATGTATGCCTGCACAGAATGTATGTGCAGAACAGACTTAACATGGTTTTTAACGTTTTTATGTCATGACATGCTCATTTAAAAAATAGACAAACATCTGAAAATTCTCCTGCCTTAAGCATAGCTTGCAAATAGCAGTGTCTTCATATATTCCCAGTGTATCTACATGGAAACCATCCTACTATAGGTTCACCAAAGGCAAATAAAGATCCTGAACATAAACTACCATTGAAACGATTCGAACCCGCAATATACAGATTTACAAAGATTGCAATTCCCACAGACTTGGACAGACTTGAACGACATAAATACAACATTGAAAAGGTATGCAGCCATACATAAAACACAAAGTCCATTTCTTTTAAATGCTCAGAGTATTTTTAACTGTGATTTTCTTTTGGGGCAATAAATATCAAGTAAAGAATGTATATTATTCTAGTATGTAAAATGGAAAAATTGGTCGAAGTTTGATGTGGAAAGAATAAATGCTGAAAGAACAATTAAGGTTTGAACAATGGTTCATTTTTGAACATTTTTGAATTAACAAATATAAAACATTTTCCGTGTTGGTATACGGTTATATCAGCACAAGTGGAAATTGGGAAAACGAGAAATTGTGTGGAAACCCGAAGGGCGGAGTGTTTTCACACAATTTCGAGTTTTCCCAATTTCCACAAGTGTTGATATAACTGTATATCAATACAGAAAAAATATTTTATATTTGTTTTATAATATAGCACAAAGAAATATAAAGAAAGAAATTTTCCGATGTTGACATTGAGTTATGTCAACACAGCTCTTAGCCAATCAACGTTCAGAATTTACAAATGCTATATTATAATATACAATGTCACATGACAATTTATTGTCACATGACATTTTGTCAGATAAAAAGTCAAATACACATTGGTGATCGGCCATGATAGAATGATGTACATGACAATATTGGCATCACGTGACATGTCATGTAACTTGTGTCAATGTGTCATATCTCATGTGACAAAATATCACATGAAATGTCATGTGATATGATATTACATGACGTATGATGTTAAATGTTGTGATGTCATCAGATGACATCAAGCCTGCCCGGTGTGGATATACACTCAGTGTAACATCACACAAGCATCTTATTCACCTGAGTACATTACACCACGATTAACCGTGATTACACCAACACAGCAAATATCAGATGACATAATAGGGCCATTTATACGTGACAAAATAAGTCGCGACTTACATAAGACGCGACTTAAATAAGTGGAGTTATCGCATAAATGGTCCTCTACGGCTTTGGTCTTATTTATTTGCTATAGCTATAATGTTGTTTTGGTTGTTTTTGTTTTAATATGCAAGGCATTAAATTTTACGTTGTTTCAAGTTTCTGGCATGTGTAGTTAGACTTTTTGTCCCGAAAATTTCTTATTTAAGACGCGACTTAAATAAGAACAGCTAAAAGACCTGTTCTTATGTAAGACGCGTCTTATCCAAGACGCGTCTTACATAAGAATTTTGTACCTTTTATACGACAAACTCGCGTGTTACCTAAGTCGCGTCTTATGTAAGTCGCGTCTTATTTTGTTCCGTATAAATGGCCCTAATGTTACATAATTCTGAAAGCATGCATGCATGGTACACATGTCATGTCATATATATGATGTCACATGATATGATATCACATGACACAAAAATGTCAATGCAGAGTTGCGTGCAAAACATGATGTGAAATATCATGATATATTTTGTGGGGCAAGGCCCTGGCTCCTGGTAACCTTTCCTGGAATTGTATAATGCCCCACCCCCATCTAACTCTGGACAGTTAACTAATAGCACAATATGTAATACCATTTTAAACCTTTCCATTACTACATTTAGCAACTCAAGGCAAATATCCAGGACATCAATAATATAAGAACTCAAGTTGCTGCAAATGAAGTAGCAGAGTTTGATAACAAGATCAACGTTGTAAAAAACAAAGCATTGGAAGAGATCAGTTCTCTGCAGGACTTGATTGAAAGTTCTGAGGATGGCAAGGATGATAATGATGGATCAGTAGGGAAGTTGAGCCTCTCACCGACGCGGTCAGATGCAGGTAAATGTTGGTAGTATTCAGATTTGTATCTGAACAACTTTATCAGGGGCCGCTTGTATGAAGGCCAGATACTGCACTATCCACCAGATGACAAAAAAATTTGGTCTTTAAAAGACTTTATTCATTTGATAAAAATACAGTCAAAAGTTACAGGATCAACATTGAGATTCATAGAGATAGTATTACATTTATATAATCATATCTATACACCATAAATATTGAAATTGACTAAGCTGTCAATTTATATGTCTAAAATATAGTTTCCAAAACTATTTTTAAAACGTTCAGTATTTAGTTTAGGCTTCCATAAGAATTGCCCTACGTCGTAGTCGCTGTGACGATTCCTTGACCTGGTTTCCATATGGTCGCGTAATGGTCCTAAAAATAGAGTCACGATCTTTCTCAACGGCCAGTTTATAACAGTTTATACGTGTAAACCACATATAAATCATAAGCATTCTCTAGTTATAATCACTCCACATATTTTCAGTTCTAAAATGTTGTATTTCGACTGATGAGAAATATCGTGACTCAATCTTTACGAGCGTTACGACCATGGCAACCAGACTTCAGGGTTGGGTGAATGCAGTGGACAGGCAAGCATTCTCCTTATGAAAGACTCTTTTGTCATATTTTTCTGGAAGTATGCTAAAAAAATTCGGAAGTATAATGATATAATGATTCTGAAGTTTAATGATCGTGATTTTTTTAAGCTTTGAGAATCAAACCCACAATCTCAGAGGTTAAAGGCATGCCTTATACAAAAAAGTCTATATAGGTGCCTATAGGAAATGTTCCAATTCCCTGTGGAAGCCTATAGACACCTACACAGCTCTATAGGTTTATAGACATCCCTATAGTTCACCTATAAAAATTGCCTATAAGATATAGTTTCCTATAGGAACCTATAAGTTGACCTATGGCTATAGCCAAGGCCAGGCCTATCGATTTTTTTGTGAAACTGTTCTGAAGATCGCCTCAAGCTAAACTTTTGCATGATCTAACCATGTTTTATGAATGCATGCATTATCAGACTATTCCCCTCAATGAATATCTTAACCTATTTCATCTTGCGTGTATTTCAGATTTCCCGTTGGTTCCTGACAGTGACAAAACTGTTCTTGCTGTTGGCGAGATGGAAACGAAGTCCAGTTCTAAAGCGAAACTATACAGATTTGACGTCACGTTACGCACATTCACGAGAATAACAATACCAACAGCACTGGAAAGATTGAGAATGCATTGTCATAATATGGAAAAGGTACGTTTTAAAGCGCTGATTACGGAGAATTTTTTGACGGGCTGAACAGCAAGCAAAATTCATAACTTCAAAATGTACGTGAAAAAATGCGTCGTATTTTAGGTTTTGGGAGCTACACGGCTAAAAACGCACAGGTTGTTCCAAGTTGATATCGACAGGCGTGAAGAATGTTGTGCGGCCAACTATGAACAAGTTGTCAACCATGTTGTTCCAAGTTGTTACAGTTGAACAATGCTGTAACAACATGTTGACAATACTGTTCATAGTGGGCCGCACAACATTGTTCACGCCTGTCGATATCAACTTGGAACAAGTTGTCGATTTCCTCAGTTTTTACGCGTGTAAATATTGTTAGGACTTTGGTGAGATTTTAAGGTGTGTCTCAACCAATTCAAAAGGTCCCATGAACAGCGCTAACACGCGCGCATTTTAATGATGCCTGGGACTGAAATCTCAATCCATAATCTCAGAAAACAAAAGAAAAGTTTGAAAGTGTTTTTCAGCTTGATTTTCAGATTTTGTCAAAGGAAGCAGCTAGTACCATAGTACTTTAATTAGTAGTCTTCATCTAGTTTCTTCAATGCTTTTTGACTCTTCACCGTTTGTGTGTGTGTTATAGTATTACGAAGAAAGACTATGGCGCGAATTAAACGCAGAGCAAGTCAACGCTGGAATAACTGTCCAGGTGTGGAAATTACTTTGGCAACTCCTTAGTATATAATATACACGAACTTGTGGTTAGAGCTCGACAACTGGACTCTGTAGTTCAGTCAGGGACGTAGCGAAACATCTGAAGTTGGGGGGGACATCGGAGGATTTTACCTGAAATTTTAATTTCGATGTTAAAAATTTACCTGAAGTGTAATAATTAGAATAAAGCTTTTTGTGATTGATCCCCACTGTGATACTAAGTTTCTAGAAGAATTTACATTTTTGAGGCTCCAGCGCTGCATTTCTGGCGTTTTCTAATACAAATTCGCAGGCGAATTGGATCTAAATTGACTGTATTGTAGAAAAATGGTTACCATTTCACAAAAATAACGACTTTATTACGCAAATTTTACCTGAAAATGTGAAAATTTTAACTTTAATTTCACCTGAGTTTCACAGTTGGGGGGTACATCTCCACCCTCCCTCCCCCCCCCGTTCGCTACGCCCCAGAGGGTCTATAGCGCAACTGCTTGGAAGCAGTCCTCATATTTTTCCGAGGCGAAATTATAATGAGACAACTGCATATTGTAGGAATCAAAACCGCAGGCATGACATATCATCGTTGTCAAACTCGTTAAATTTTACATATTTTCGTAGCATTTGAAAAAGAGCATTGAAGATATGGAAACGACAAGAAAACAAGTTCCCGTGAATGCACTGGTGGAGTTCGACAGACGTGTTGGTCCCTCGTACGACAGAGCATCGGCCGCCATCGATTCGTTTATGAAATTTCAAACAAAATACAAACCTGCTGCTCCCCACGTCACTGCTGAAAAAAATGTGAATGAAGATGACAGAATGGGAATAGAGATGCATGGTTAGTTTTAAAGTGCGCAGACTTGGAAAAAGTGGGATCCGGGATCCTGAGGAACATTTGGTTAGCAAGAAGATTGAGGAAAATTTTGAATTTTTCACGCGTACTTTAAGGGACAATTTTAAGGAATCTTATCTGCCATTTGAGTCTATTTTGAGATTGCGAAGTGTTCTTCGTATCCTGTTAATAGAATTTGAAGATTGTTTTGTTTCCTCAGCAATTTTACAACCAATATAATCGAGGAACATTTGAAAAAGACAAGTTCAGGATCCGAGGAACATTGAACACTTTTTCCAGGTCTGAAAGTGCGACTAATCCCATGCATAATTTTTTTATATGTGTAATATTTGGGTCATCCCAAGAAGAAATGTAGTACATCTTTATAGTAAAATACCTCATTTTGATCAATGTATAATGTCATTACATGAATGGCAAATTAATTTTCCTTTGCTCCAAAAACTAATTTATGACATCATGTCCAGACGAAACTTCGACAGCGAAAAGTTGATCCAGATGAGGTTTCTTATAAAGAAAAAGAGCGTTTGCACATGACGTCGCAGCCGCCATGTTGGTGTTCCAATTCAAAAGAATTTTAATTCGACTCTTTTGTCTGGAACACCAACATGGCCGCCATGGCTTTTGTTGAGTTGGTCCCTGGGGAATGAGTGCAAAAGCTCTATATTACATTTCGTCTTGAATGAACCAAATATTACACATGCAAAAAATCGTATATGGGGTCAGCCCCACTTTGGAAGTAATATTTGATATTTGAGAATAAGTTAATTTATTAACTTCAGCCGTCAACAGAAATATAAACATATACAAACAGGAAGACGGTTCAGGAACACTAACACAGCGTGAGCCAATTATGTTAGTGACCTGTTACAAAACATCATTATACAAAACTTCACAACTTATAATTTAAATATCAAACAAGAGTATAGTATAATCCTTTTTTATCCGAAGTAGAGAGAGAGCATAGAATTTTCAAAATTTGGAAAAACAAAATGACAAAATTGTTGTTGTTGTTGTTGATTATGTGTATGTAATGATTATGTATATGTGTATCTAAGTTGATTATGTGTATGTAATGCATGAATTCAATAAATATCTTTCTTTAGGTAAACTTTTGAATCAAGAAATTACTCCTGACGAAGCCACTGTACATTCCTGGGACGACCTACAGAAAGTAAGTTTGTATAATATGGATTGTATATATTATAATAATAATATGGATTGTATATGTTTGTAATAATAATATGGATTGTATATATTATAAATCTGCTTTGTTTTTCTAGAGTTTAGTTGAGCTAAATGACGTCATCCACGAATTCTCTCATTTGGTACATGTAAGTGTTAACCACATACATCAATAAATATACATCCATCAATGACGTAATGTGTTAACCAATCCGTTAATCGACCAGAATTCTGGATCTGCGAAAAATATCCGATTGGAACCGGAACTGAGTTTATTCAACCGTGTATGTACTGTTTAATAAACGAGTAGGAGTGTTTTATCACATATAAAACACGACGGGTAGCGGAGTGTTTTATTATATGTGATAAAACACGAACTACGAGTTTATTAAACAGCTTCAAAAACGTCTCAGTTAGATCACGGCATTGGCGAAATAATTTTCCAAAATAACTTTGTATTAGCTGAGAAAATACAAGTTAAAATTTGAAGCGTGTTTTATCACATATGAAGACACGCCACGCTTATGATTTCTCTTTGTGTTTTCCTCATGAATTATTAATGAGTTTTTGAAGATTATATAAGTTGATTTGTCGACTGCCAACCTTAAAAAGTTGGAACATATGTGTAAAATAATGTGCGTAATGTGATGTGTTAAAATATTTGGTCCGTGTTCAATTAGCTAATGAGTAATGTTCATCAGTAAATTAACTTTATATTCTTTTTCCTAATGAAGACAGAGTTGCACCCAAAACGTAGGCTAGCACTTTTACTATGCTTTTACTGAAGCCCTAATTTTAATGCTATTTTTGACAGGAACAACAGTCAGCTGTAGATTCGATCGAGACAAATATTGAACACGCTCAGGTGAATATTCACGACGCGACACAGGAACTCGGCAGAGTAAGTAGCATGACAATGTTTTATTGTTAGGTTGTTGATAGAACCATCAAGATGGCGTCGTGATAGCACATTTCTCATCCTTTATCTTCACACAGGCGGCGAAGTTACAAGGAATGATTCTTCCAGTTATCGGTGCGGTTGTGGGCGGTGTCGTAGGAGGGCCGGTGGGTTTGTTGGCGGGCTTTAAAGCAGCCACAGTGCTGACAGCGGTAGGTGGGGGTGTGATTGGGTATAAGGCCACGAGCTACATCAAAGATAAACGCGAAGAAGCTGTCGATTCTGAACTTGAAAGACTGACAGACAGGAACAATCCAAATGATGATAATTAGGATTAGGATTGGAAAGTTAAGCCCCGTTTACACTACGCTCAATTTTTGGTACGGCACGGATAAAATTGGTACCCATACCACTTTATTTAGGTAGTCCAAGAACCAAAAAAGTGGTACGGTACCGAGCGTGGTATAAACGGGGCTTTAGTAGTTTTGCTAGTGGACTGGAAAGCAGACTAGTCTTGCTCCAAGTTGACCGACCCACACAGAAATAATAGACTTCTCGCAATTCATAATTTTGCTGTTTCTAAACAAACAGGCTAGGAACTTTACGGTAGTTGGGTAGAAACAGCGTAGGTAAGATAAGTCACACACTAATGTTTGTGGAAACACCACGTAAAATTCGAAAGCTAATTGCAGTAATAAATTTACGTGGTGTTTGCACAAACAATAGTATTATTTGTTTTATCGCCATGCAAACCTACAAAGAACTTAAGTCACATACTATTCATAAGGGACACATGACACACGTCAGAATCAAGAGGCCCTTTGTAGCTGATCTGAAAGTGCTTTATCTTACTGCTTTGTTTACAAATCCCACAGCTCTCGAGTCACTACTATTTTTAGGTCACTACAAAGGGCCTACTTCTCATGACTCCCCCTAACTATTCGTCGACAGTTTTTATGACATTTTGTTCTTCTTGTATTGTCGGAGCTTGGCTGACCTATTTGCGCGACGAAATGAGATAAATTGAAATTTTGTACATAGTATAATTTATATGGAGAATTAATAGTTTGTATATGTATATTTAAAATACTTCTATAATTGTTCAGGGGTGTGTTTGTTTGCAGAAATATAAAATTTTCTTTAATATAAGGGTATTCGTGATACAATGCCTGTGCCTTTCACCTCCCTCACTGGGATTCGAATCCTGCAGTATTTGGTTCTCAGATTATAATTTCGCTCAATTACATGTGAGAAATATATATGTACGTATATGCAAAGGCTGGTTTACACTATCAAAGTTTCTGTGATCACAGTAGGAATTTTGCATGGGTAAATTTTCTAAGTCAGTTTGAAGGATTTGTAAGAAATGTTTAAGGAATAAGGGACCGATTCCGTGTTTAACAATTGACCACTTGCGTAATAGACTAAATTTTGATCTCAACAAACATTTCATCACAGCTTGAAAGAGCATCACAAAATTAGTAATATCCCAAAGTTTCGTTGCGAAATGTTGTAAAATGACTGAAAATTGCAAACTCCGCAAGGCTATATTTTCCGCATTTTACAACATTTCGCAACGAAACTTTGGAATATTACTAATTTTGTGATGCTCTTTCAAGCTGTGATGAAATTTTTGTCTAG